AGAAATTAGGGGAGAAAAGATTGTCCAAGTACCAGGTACCAGGAAAGAGGGCAAAGAAGGGAGAGGGAAGGAGAGAGATGGGGAAGGAGGGATTCAGGAAGGAAAAATGATCTGTTGTTGTGGCTAATAACATGCCCATCTTTCAGGGTGCATAAACAGTCTAAGAGCAGGCATCATGTGTTATTGGTTCTCTTGTGTCTGTAACTCATCACAGTGTGTACTTTGTAGTATAGGTTCAGTTGAGGTTTGTTGATGTTTAAGACATGGTGAGGGAAGAAACAGAATGCAAACAAATCTGGTAGCTAACACAACACGGACAAGAGTATATCAATTACCAGACCCCAGGCTGAGAACCAATAGTTACCTGTTGAAGAAGCTTTGTGTTGGTTCTCTTATAGTAAAAGGCCTCTAACAATCAAATGGCCCAAGGAAGCATTTATGTCTCGAGCAGTTGTAAAGACAACACTGGATAAAAAAAGGTATATAGTGTAATGATGTCTTCGCCTAACTGTGCTCAGGACTGATTATTGCTTGATGAGTGGTTTGGTGACAATGGCACTGCTTGAGATCAATCAGCTAGCTGTTTTAGCTGTTTCTTTTTTTCTTCTTGTTTTTCTTTTCTTTTTTGTTTTTCCAGACAGGGTTTCTCTGTATTGCTTTGCAGTTGGAGGCTGTCCTGGAACTTACTCTGTAGACTAGGCTGGCCTTGAACTCACAGAGATCGTCCTGCCTCTGCCTTCCCAGTGCTGGGACTAAAGGCAGGTGCCACCAATGCCCAGCTAAGATCAACTGTTTTCACCTTGATTTATGATTAGACTTTTACATTATGGCATCGCTACTTTATTATCACACGACTACTGCATTGACTCTGGCATCAAGATTCCTCTATGTGTGGAGTCACAGAGGATTTTAGTGACATTATTGGAGTAAGGGATATACACAATGTCACTAACTTACTCCAATAATTTACTTCTGTGAAAAGCTGAGAGATTTCTTGGACTCATCTCCTTTTGAGGATCCTCTCAGAAAAGATCATACATTGCTAATTCCTTACATTGGTGAATAGCAAGATATTAAATGTGTGATAATATTTCAAATGGTGGGGCAAATTCCTTCAATCTGGACCGAATGTTTGACATTTTGCTTTGACTAAATGGGTCCCGGCACTATTTTGTAAATGTTCTATATGTCTTGGCATTTGAATGTTTTCACACCCACACAATGGCTAATCCAGATAATCATTAAAATATGAGTGTATTTTGAAACTCATATTCCATTGCACTAGAAAATCTACAAGAAATGGATAAACTCCTAAACACATATGATTCACCAAAATTAAACCAAGACAAAGCAACCTTAAAAAGGAGCTGGAGAGCTGGTCCAGCCAAAGTGATTGCTTCACAACAATGGGGCCTGAGTTCAACCCCTTGAAGCCATGTAAAAAAGCTGGGTGTGGCAGCCCGTATTTATAGTCTCATTACGGGGAGGCGGAGAAAGACGGAGCTCTTCCATTCATCCACTGGCAAGCCAGCCCACTGCACTAAGTCCAGGCCACTCAGAAACTCTGGCTAGAAAAAAAGTTGGATAGCCTCTGAGAAATGCTACTCATAGCTTTGTGCATACATGTGCAACCCTCCTCCCCCAACTCATTAGACACTGTAAATAGAGTGGAAACAATAAATGGTAGGTAAGCCTCCTCACTTCTTCATGGGACACAGAGAAGCAAGTGGGAGGTAACCTAACTGACTTGACATTGTTACCTCCTTAAGTAATGATCTGTCCCCTTTACTATCCACTAAGCATGTATCATTTATAGTCCTGTTGTGAAGACCACACATTGTTTATTTATTAAAGAAAGCCAGTTGCTCCACTCAAATACAGAAAGCCTTGGTTAGGAATCTCCGGTATTCAAAAGGTAATCCTGCTATCATAATTTTCTGATCACAAAATTTCTGCCAAACACAGATGTTGATCAGGAAGAATTTATAAACAAAAAGGCAGAATGCTGACTCCTTGGGATTGAACGGACTGCAGGCACCATACTGCCATGATCCTGAAATCTTCAGTAACCCTTTCTGTAAGACTTCTCTGATTTTAGGGATCAGTTCTGAAGCTCTTCACTCAGGCATCCTGGAAATCAAACGCTTGCTTCTTTCTCCTTGAACTTTCAACCTCCTGATATATATCTCGTTTTTTCTCTTCCTAGAGCACTACGTGTAAACAGACATTGCCGCCCTTCAACTCCCCAAAATGACAATAACAAAGTAGAACTTTTTTTTTTTTTAAACAGGGGAAAATATTCACCAACTTTCCCGTGACATCCTACAGAGAGATGGTCGGGCGGGGGTTGGGGGTGGGGGTTGGAGAGATTCTATGAAAAGGAACACTTCCTCTGAGGGCATAAAGCTTCGTGACGTCGCCCCCACGTGGCGCCAAAAGGCAGTTACCATTGCCCGGAGAGGGGAAGGGCAGGAAGAGCCCCCTCGGCTTCCTTCAAACAGCATGACGATCTTGCTGTGAAGCCCGGGTAAATAAAGATTAGGGATGACAGGGACTGTGGATGTGACCAGGGAAGGGAAAATGGGTGAATTTAATGTAGAGAAAGATGTGTGGGGTGAGGGGTCCGTCAGCAGATTCAGGGACAACTATGATCTCACTTTTCTTAGCAAGAATCCACTAGAGATTTCCCCTGACCATAAGTGAGACGTAATTCTGTCTATATGATTTCTACGGAGTCACTAGGAGGGAGATTAAAGCCATGTCTAAGTCTGACTTCTCTGCAGTCAAATTAAAAATGTCTTTGTGTGTGTGTGTGTGTGTGTGTGTGTGTGTGTGTGTGTGTGTATGCATTTGTATGACTATAGCAATTAGATCTGGGGGTCATTCATTCACATTCTTCTGAACTTTCTGTCCTTGACTTCCAGAATAGAAGATGGGAAGCTATATTGACCAAACATGGATGCATGTAGTGGAAACGCTGTTGCAGTTGTAGACAGCATCTTTTGAAGAATGGGAAGACTGAAGTGATAGGTCAAAGAGGATATCAGTACATACTACTCTTTTCTAGGGTGGAAGCCAGCCAGCTGTTGATGAGTTAGTTAAGTAGTAGACACACCTTTGGTGTGAAGGGATTGATAAGACACTAAAGCACAGTTTGGTCCCCAAAGCACATTATAGTGTTAATTGTGACATCAAATAGTGAAGAATTAAGAGGATATTAGTGAACAGTCAGGCTTTAAGTTTATGACAGAGAGTGCAGACAATGTCGATAAAGTTGTCTTGACATCTTTGTTTCGAATGTTGTTTCGGTCTTCCAGGACAATGGAAGCATCCATCATGCCCCTGGCATTTTAGAAGAACCATGTCACCCTGATCTTAGAACACCAGAAGAAAGGACAAGGTACTGTCCTTTCCATTCACATAAAGGAAGGGTAAAATGATGGTCAATTTTTTGACTAAGTAGGTATCAAGAATAAAATAGAAAGTGAGGGAATGCATAAGACATTTCTTTTCTGAATATGTTTTCAGAAATGGTGTCCTTCCTCAGACTTAATGAGGGTGACTACAGTTTGAATTGGCAAAAATATGGGAGTGAACTATGTGGTCCCCTGGTCTATTAGATTTTAGAACTGTGGACCACACAATGTAGACATGCTGAGTGACATAGCTGTGTAAAAGCTCATGCATGTGCCTTTCAATGAGGATGCAGTTAACTTTCCTCATGTTAAGGAGGACCAGGCCTCTAGCACTTAAATCTCTTATAAACTACAGTTTTTTTCCCTGTGCCACCAGGAAGAAAAAAAAAGTTACAAACAATTCTGAAATTAATATTCAATCAGATCACAGATCTTTATGGAATTATCTGATGGGCATAAGCCAAATTTTAGGCACTGCCAAAGATAATAAAAATACTATTATCCTTTTATGGTTATGAATATTATCCTACATGAGTACTATATTAGGATTGTTGCATAATTATGTCTTTGCTTCCTTTTTTTAAAAGTAAAACTATAGAAATTCACATTTTCAGTAAGAGAAAACTGACGCTCGGGTGAATTTCCCAAGCCTGATGGTTTCCAAAGACTGTATCTTAATGAACATTAAGCTATAGATGGGAAATAAAGGTCATATGGCCTACTTCTCAAGAATTAGTCTTATGTGGCCAATATAGAAACACAAGGCTACAAAGACACGATCTAGATTGTAATTTGCTGAAGAACCCATCTGGTAAGAAGGAAAAGACCAATTCTACTTACTCATGTTAATATTTTAGATAGGAACTAAATAAAAGAAAGCTGGCGGTGAAATTTGTGTCTGTTGGTGTGAAAGATGCCATTTGTGGGTAGTGTTGACTTGGACAGATGTGGAGATGCAGAATGTGCCCAGAGACCGTTATGATGTGTAATCTGTCCTCTCTCTCCATCTTCCTTCTTGACATAGAGAATGCAGCTATTTCAAGTGCCCAACCAACAGTAAGCGGCCATTCTAATGTGAATATTTTTTTATCATTCCAATCAGTTTAATGCTGCAAAGAGTAAGAATATATATTTAATATATCTCTACCTGTGGTCTCAAGAACGGCATTAATAAAACTCTTTTAGCAAACTGCACCCTCTCCCCCACAATGAGATGGATAATGGACGTCAGCAACCTAATTAGCTATGAAGAAATCTCTCTCTTTCCTCTCTCTCTCTCTCTCTTTCACATTACCTTTTAGAGGAAGAAAAGGCAAAACAAAGTTGCAGGAAGATGCCAGGAATTCCTGTGTCACTGCACATGCAAGTTAATGGCAAGTTTTTCAGTTCATGTCCCTTTTAGAGACAGGGGTTTCATTGTGATTCTATTTGCAGCATATAGTGACCCTTCAACTGTTAAATCGTTAGTGGACTTGGAAGTTACAGGTGCTTGGCATACTCTAGATCCACCCAATTTCCCCGTCTTGAGTCTCTGCACTCCTGACTTCAGTGAAGATTTCTGTTTGTTTTTGACAGCTTCCAGCCATGAAGTCGTTCCAGGTGATGCCGATTCTCTTTGTTTTACTGCTGCAATCATTGCCCTCAGAAGGAAAGGTAAGTTTCATGTGGAAACGTCCTTTCAGAACAGTCTGACAGTTTTGGCAAAGGGCCGGCTGCTTGAAAAGCATAAGAATCCAGAGTGTCTGATAGGTGACAAAGCTCTCGTGGTTGTCTCAGAGCACTTCACAAGAAAGCAGAGACAGGGGACTAAGCCTATTTGCTCCACCACTCATGACTGCAGTGGCCACCAGTCACATGTGCCTGTTAGATACTTGAGAAAACAAGGTCTCTTCCAAGAAGAAGGCTAACAGGTGTCAACGATGTATCACAAGTTGAACAGCAAACCCATCTGGTGTTTTCTGTTAAAAACAATGAGGTAACAGTATTTTGTATAATTGGATAAATGATACATGGAGTTTAGAGCAACACTGGTAAGAATTACCAAAGACTTATTGGCGGAACACAGTAGAAATGTGCTTTCTACAGCTGTGGGGGCTAGAAATTGCGGTCTCTCTGCAGACATAGGAACTGACTGATCCATTCCTTTCTATCTTAAAGTGACTTTTGCCAATTGTTGTCCTTTGACAAGTGGCTGTGTCACCCCAACTTCTTCCCTCATGTTGACATAACCTCGTGTCTCTATATTTCTCATAAAATCCCTTGGCTGAGAGTCAGGTTCCACTTTGGTACCATATTAATATATCCTAAGAATCAGAATATGGAAATATCTTTAGGGGGCAGGCACTAAACTTATTATAAGTAAATATATTGCTGAAATTCACTTCTACATTTTAATAGGCCTTCTCCAATGAAAATCACGTCATCCCCAAATTATATTTTTAAAAGACAGCATGTTATATGGGTTCAAAAAGCTAATTGATTATGGGTCTTCTATAGTCTTATTTCCTCCAATTTCCATGTGATTGCTACAGAAATTTAAGAATATGTAATCTTAAATTTGTATTTTCTTTACCTCGATCACTATATTTTTCTCTTATTTACAAATTGGACCTGTAAAATTGAAAATACATCTGATTCTAATGTCTTTTTGTGTTTGTCACTCACTGGTCATGGAATTAACACATAAAACATTGTTACTGTGGGAAACCCTGAATTCAGACCACTTACTTCCCATATAATTTCATGCTGTATGTAATGATCCCAGAACAAGGCCAGTCACCCTTGTCAGTATGTGTAAATCTCACACGTGGAGTGGCATGGAAGCTTGTGAATATGAGATTCTACCCTCATTGCTATCCATTCTCACACCCTGTGCTGACTTTTAGAACTCAACACTAGCCAGAAATGAAGACTGATAGTTGTTCAGATCTCATTTAGCATTCATAACCATAACCAGTCTGTTATAACAGTCAAATTCTTAGACCAGAGAGAATTTGCTTCTAACTCCGCAGGCCTTTATTATAACAGTTTCCCATCTTTTCTCCCATGAATGATTTTTTTCCCTCTTGGACATTCACAATTCTTTTCCTACTTCCTGGCTCAATTCTTGGCCTTCATTCATAAAAATAATTACAAACTGGGATATCACTAGGTTTTTGGCTTACTGATTACCTCTCTCAGCATGACTTTCTATGCTTTCCAACAGTCCTAGAAACACTTATCTTTAAAATACCAATCCAGAATCATCTATGTGAACTCTTTGTTACCCTCAATAATCTGATCCCCTCAGCATACCTTATTGTGGCATAATCAAATGTGAATGGATATTGACAAGTATAGGATCCCTGGTTATTGGGTATCCTCCGCTGATACAATAAGCCAAATCGGACCTAACTAATAAATCTGGATTTAATAAACTAAAAAGTAAAGCAGAGCACTTTCAGGTGACTCTTGGAAAGGCAGAGGGGAGAGCACATGGCAACCAGATCTTAAATTCCCTGTAGGCTGGTCTTGACTAACTCTTGTGGGTGGAGCTGACTCTTGTGGGCCTTTCTGAAGACGTGAAACCAGAGAAGGGGTTCCCAACAGAGAGGTCTTAGGCTCCCTGCTGAGAGTGTTTGGTAACAAAATATTACTCATTTTTTAATCTGCAGTTTTTCGTGCTATATATATTATGTTTTTCCCCTCCGCCAACTCCTCCCAGATCATCTGCATTTCCCTATCCACCCAACTTCATGTTCTCTCTCTCAAACAAAACAAAACAAAACAAAACGCAACCTAAACACAAAATGCAAAAAGCAAAACAAACAAAAAACAGAACAACCACAGAAGAAAGCCCAAACAAGGTAAAACCATTAGAGTCTGTTTTGTACTGGCAAACTGTTCTTGGTTGAGCACAGGCCCTTCCCTGGAGCATGAAGGATGCACTCACTGTCGTAGTTTGAATGTAATTGGCCCCTGTAATCTCATGGAGAGGGGCACTGTTAGGAGGTGTGGCTTTGGTGGTGTGGGTATAGCCTTGTTAGAGAAAGTGTGTCACTCTGAGGGTGGGCTTTGAGGTTTCCTATGCTCAGGATACTGCCCAGGTAGTGAACTTCCTCTTGTCTGCAACCCAAGCTGTAGCCAACATCATGGCTGCCTGCACACTACCATGCTCCCCACCATGACTATAATGGACTTAACTGAAACCGTATGTAAGCCTCCTCAATTAAATGTTTTCTTTGTAAGAGTTGCTGTGGTCCTGGTGGTGTCTCTTCACAGGAAAGAATCGTAATTTAAGACACTCATTGACACTACATGGGAGGAGAATTTTCTCTTTGCCAGCAGGTATCATTTATAAATAGTTTCTCAGTTAGGGGTGGGACTCCACATCAAGTTTCCCCCTTCGGGACTGGGATTTTTGTTTGGGGATTCTCTGTAGGTCTTTGGTGTATTGCCACAGCCTCTGTAAGTTCATACATGCATCAGACTTGCGCCTGGAAGACACTGTTTCCTTGGACTCACCCATCATTCTGGTCCTTAGCATCATTTGTTCCTAGATCCCCGAACCTTGTGGACAGGAGGCAGGGCTTTGATGAAGACATCTTCTCCTTTAGGTTATCTCACATAGGACTGAGTGCTTCTAAGTCTGTCACTCTTCTGCACATTGTCCAGTTGTAGGTTCTGTGATAAGCTCCATCTGCTGAAAGAAGAGGCTTCTCGGGCAAGGCACGGATGATGCACTGATCTATGGGTATAACAGTATGCCACTGGGAGTCATTCTATCGCTATGTTCCTTTAACAGAATAATAGTAGGTTTCCCCCTCAATCATGTGACCTATATAGTCTCAGATTCTTTGCCACTTTAGCATTGCTAGGTATGGGTTTATGCTCATGTAGCAGACCTTAAATCCAATTACAAAGAGGCTTGTTACTTTCATAATATTGATGCCCTATTGCACTAGTATAACATGCAAATATCTCACTGCTGTAAGTCTCATGGATTGGTTTGATTACCATTTTTCATTGGTCACAGGCAGTCTACCTCCCCAAATCACCTCTCATAGGATTGCATAAAAAATAAATAAATAAATAAATAAATAAATAAATAAATAAAAGCTGAGTTAAAACCAAAATCTAGCATTTATGGCCTTAGAGGAATTTTTGTCTTGCAGTGAATTATGCATCATTTCAAAGTCTGCTGTCTACATCTAGTCATTCCTATTATAATTAAGTGCTGACTCAGATTTATTGGCACTGTCAAGCAGCTAATATTTTCCTTTTCTATCTGGGTGATATTATGTGATAATAGTTTTTTTTTTAATTGAAGTAATTTCTTCACCGTCTGTGATCTACAAAAATGTTAAAAGTTATTTTCCTCCAGGATCCAGCTTTTACTGCGTTGTTAACCAACCAACCACCAGTTCAAAGAGAAATTGTAAATAAACACAATGAACTGAGGAGATCAGTTAACCCCACTGCCAGCAACATGCTAAAAATGGTAAGAGACTGTGTTGGAAATGATGTGAGCCAGCTGTGGGGGGAGGAGTCAGCTGTGGGAAGAGGAGCCAGATGTGGGGGGGGGAGGAGCCAGCTGTGGGAGGAGGAGCCAGATGTGGGGGGAGGAGACGGATATGGAGGGAGGAGCAGCTAGTGATGGCTTAACATTATGTTTTAAAATATTCCTTGCTGCTGGGAGGACCAGCCTTCAGCAGCTTAGGAATTGAGGGAGAGCCACAGAGTCAGTGAAGTAATCACTCAATTTGACTTTTCTATCTGAGGGGTAAAACTTAACTCTCTGGGGCTGTCCAGTGGGGCAAAACTTAACTCTGTGTGGGCAGTGAAAAAAGGAATAACACCCCAACACGCCCACACCCCCACACACCCCACATCCCTTTAGGATCTCTCTATTATCACGGTATCATATTTTTACTTCCTTTCTTACCTCTATACAGATTATTGCTTCTGTGTGTTTATTTTTTCTCTTATAGCTTATATACCCCAGCAGAATCCTTTAAGCAATATAAAAATTATAATGTGGATATATATATATATATATATATAATTTTTTTCTTATTTTACCTATCGATCCCAGTTCCCTCTCCCTCCCTCCCATGCCCCCCAACCTCCTCCCATTCCATCCCCCCTTCCCTCCAATCCACAGGGAGGGTGATGCCTTCCAGGAGGGATCATCAAAATCTGTCAAGTCATTTATTTTTTAAGTGGATGATTACAATGACTACAAGTTAAAAACATGTTTCCCCATTTCTCTTACTTGATTAAACATTTTATACATTACAGGCGAAAAACAAATTATCTCAAGAACCCATATACATTCATGCCCAAACAGCTTGTTATAGATTAACAGAGTGTAAGCACCAAGATGTTTTTCTCAGCCAGTTCTTTTACTGGCAGATTGCATTTCTAATTTATAAAGAAAGGATCAAACATTTTGTTATTTATCTCAAAAGGTAATCTTATAAAAAATCTTAAAAGAATAACAAATATAAACTTTTATGTATGAAAAGCATTCAGTCAGTTCTACTCACTCATCAACAATGTTTTAAATCAGGAAGCTGAGGGCAGAAATGGGTACAAGGAATTAATCATCACCTTGGATCATCAGCCCATCTTAAGCAAGAAAGGCATGTCAGCTAATAATAATGGGGCTCTCCTTTTTCTTATATCTTCACCTCAAAGAGACCCTCACTCAGCCATGCATCTTCATAAACTTGAAACTGTTCTGGAAGACTTTCTACCTCAAAGCTATTAACCTTAACCTAATCTTAGTCGTTATGTAAAGCTTTGTTTTAGCCATTGACTCGCACTGAAACCCATGAACACATCTCCCAAACACTAGGATTAACTTGACCTAACCTAGTTTTTGGGACTCAGTTTTTCTTAATCATTAAGCTAAGCCACAGTTTCTCCTTAAGAGATACCCATAAGTCCTAGCTGCATGACACTTCCTTGTTCTTATTGCCTATCCTCTGCATCCCCTGCTTTATCAAGGGTAGTGGCAACACCATATCCTGCCCTTACCTATGTTAATTTTCCCACTAATCTAACCTTTATCATAATCCCTTACTATATTTGTTAAAAACCCTTAATCATCAAAATTCTATTTAAACTAACACCATTAATGTATAAAGTCATTGCTTCAGTTAGACATTACACCTTAAGAGGAAATCATCATAATAATCCACAGGTAAAGATGCCCAGGAAAATGGGATATCTCCATGAGATAATCATACTACATTAAAGATCTTGGGGATCCCCCTCAATACCCATTCACACCATGCCAAACACCAGAGAAAAAATTCAGGGACAAACATGTAAAGGCACAGTAGTAGCAAGAGACATTCTGAAGCAGAAGTCCTTGGGGCCTTTCCTATCTGAGATTACCCATCAGTGCTTTGTTTCCACTACCCTGAAGTTTGATTGTTGCCTGCTGCTCCTCTGATATGGCCACTGGCAGTTCCTGTTATTATTTTGCTATTTTATTAAAAAAAAATTTTATGTGGGAAAGACTATATTGTTTTTGTTTTTAGCATGGCTCAATGGCATTTTGGGTTTTGGGTCTAGTGAGCTGGGCAGAATTAGAAAGCAAATCTTTGAGGGTTGTGTGTGAAGCCTTTTGTTTGTTGTCTTTCCTAGGGCATGGATCAAGGCCTTTTCTGTCTTTCAGTGACTTCTTGAAGAGTATTTTTTAGTTTGTGTTTCTGTGTGTGAGTGTGGACATGTGCACATTTGTGTGGGTACCTGTGGAGGCCACAGGCAGTAGTTCCCTCATAGAACTTGGTTTATGGACAGCTATGATTAAATCAACAGAGGTGCTGGGAACCGAACATGGGACCTCTGCAAGAGGGCAGTGGATTCTTTCAATCACGGAGCCATCTCCTCATTCCCAATACCATACCCTTCTTAATGTACAACACTTCCCAGGACACAATGCTGATAGCCTTTACCCTATTCAAGGCAACAGGCATCAAAGGACTTTGGAACAGCTCAGAGCAGCTCATAATATTAAAATATTATTAGAATGCATCTCAATATTTAGCATCATTCACAAACAGCATGGATGTGGCTTTACAGTTAGATATTTCCCCTTTATAACTTATCCCTTTTGGACTTCTCTTCATGTGGATACTGGAACACACAAAGATTCAAACAAGCAAATGAGGCATTTTACTATCAGTGACAATTAGAAAATGTATCTGCAGAAGTTTGATAGTTTTGCTAACCAGTCAAATTATGTGCTTTCATTATGGTTGGATTATTAAATGTAGTTTTCTTTCCCTTTCGATATTTAGGAATGGAGCATACAAGTGACAGGAAATGCTCAAAAGTGGGCTAATAAGTGTACTTTAGAACATAGTAAAGCCGAAGACCGAAAAATCAGTACGTATGTTACATATGGCTGCTTCATAAGTGAATGAATTCAACACTAACAGCCCTTTGTAGGCTATTACATTGAGAATTTAAACATAAATGCTATTCATGCAGTTTTTCAAAGTTATTATTTAGTTATAACAACAGCATGGTTCATGTTCTTTTATTTTATGCAAATGTTTCATGCGATGTGTCATTTGTTCTCTCCAAGCTCACAAGCAAAGCAGAGCATGTGTCATGCTTTTTTTTACCATCAACATCAGGAAGAAAACCACAGTCCAGAGAACACACTGTAGTCATGTCGGACATGATGTTTCTGTTCACACTTTATCAAATCTAAATCTAATCATCTGCACCTTGCTTTGATAATACATAGCTGTTCGGTGTTTTGCTAATAACTACTTTTTATGATGTATATCTAACTGTGCTTAGTTACTGCTTAGTTTTGCTGCAAACCACTTAAGGTTTTTAAATCATTTTCAAAATCCATATTGAGTGAATGCTTTGGGAATGTAATAAAACGTCAAGTGTGAATTTTTTTCTTTTCTTCTTCTCCTTTTCTTTCTCTCTCCCTCCCTCCCTCCCTCTCTCTCTCTCTCTCTCTCTCTCTCTCTCTCTCTCTCTCTCTCTCTCTCTCTCTCATGTTGGATCTCACTATGTAACCCTGGCTGCTCTAGAATTGGCTATGTAGACCAGGTTGGCCATGAACTTGCTGTGATCCCCCTGTCTCTGCTGTCTCTGACTCCCAGTTCTGGGACTAAAGGTGTGCAATACCAAGCCCAGCCTATGTATTGTTTTCTAAGTCCTGCAATTGACTAACATATAGATTGTTGTGGTAGACTACAAAGAACAACAGAACACATTGTATGGAGGAATCCAGAACCATGAAGGAGGAAACTTGGTACATAGACCTTACACAGATTGTTTACTTATATCTCACTGCATGTAGAGAAACCCACTGTGGAAATGATTAGTCACCTTGCAATGTTTCAGTTGATCAATTGTTATTTTATCATTGCTGCTCTAATAATAAAAGAACTGTTAAGAGAGTGACAGGGTCAGTAGAAGACTCAAGCAGTCTTGGAGATCTAGTGTACTATTAGATTGTTACTTTTACATTTAATACTAATGGAAGTATCATAGCATGTTTGATGTTCATTGTATGTAGTATAGACATAGTATTTCAAAGTCACACAGATTCAATAAGGACTTGGCTGTCAACTTGTGCTGGCTGTGTCTAGTTTTCTCAGGAAGAGGATTAAGTCTGTGATCCTTCCTGCTGACAGTTTTCTCTTTGAAAATTTGTCAAAATCCTACTTCATAAAAAATCACTTATTTGTAAGGTCTTCTTTGTGGAAACTGGTGAACGTGACAGACAGCATAGAAAACATTCAAATGCTGGCCACTTTTCTTCACTAAGCCTGTATCACAAAGCTGAGCACACACACGCAGAATTTAGTGTCTAGATGACTGCAGTTTTGCCAATGCAAGTGGAGAAGGCTTTTTAAAAGAACGGAGTAGTCACAATCGATTCAATATATTTGCATGTTTGGGCCATCATGCATGTGTCAGATGGCTGTCTTCTTATCTGATCAATCAATCAATCAATCAATCAATCAATCAATCAATCAAAGAAGCAGGTTACCTGCTCCCACCTCTATCAATAATTATCTACCATAGTCCTTATGGCTCACATACAGTATTTTGCATTTGTGAAGTCAACTTATTTTGCCGTGGAGAGTTTTATTGTTTTTTCTCATAAATACGTTCCCTCTCAGAAACAAGATGTGGTGAGAATCTCTATATGTCAAGTGACCCTACTTCCTGGTCAACTGTAGTTCAAAACTGGTATGATGAAAGTGAATATTTTACCTACGGTGTAGGAGCAAAACCCAATACAGCAGTTGGACATTTCACTCAGGTGAGCAAATAGAAGATGCTATAGTAACAAACCCTGTAATGTGAAGACTTAAGTTTTGCTAACTGATGGCCTGTTCCTATATTAAGTTTGAGAAGACAGTCGGAGTAGATTTTACATAGTTCTGTCATTTGACTGACATGCTAAGATATGCTAATTTATGACCAGGATCTGAAGAATGCTTGGTAGGAAAGCATACAGCATATCCTTTCATCATACATGGATATAATCGTAATCCCACACTACATGTTTAGTCTTGAAGGGTATTAAAAATAAAATTTTACTTACTGTGATACCCAAAATAAAAATTTTGTAAGGTAAATGTTATAGACTGTAGTAACTACATATTTATGTCAATATTTATTTTTGTGTATTTTACCAGTTCTCTAATAAACATCTGTACTTTTATCTTCTATGGAATGATAGGTTGTTTGGTATTCATCTTACAAAATTGGCTGTGGAGTTGCTTACTGTCCTAACCAAGATACCCTAAAATACTTCTATGTTTGCCAATACTGTCCTGCGTAAGTATGTACTTCAGAATTAAATGTGTGTAATTTTACCTACAAACTAATAGTTGAAAGCCAGAATCACAAGTGTAAACCCACCAAAGGAAGGGAAAACATCAGGGCTTTTCTTTGAAGATCTAGACAACATTAATTTGTCAAAGACGAGGGCAGTTACACAGTTCTGAATGTAAACATCTAAGATCTCCACCTTCACTTATGAAATAATGTCCTTTCTTTGAATTATTCTTCCCTAGGTCCTTCATTCAAGGACCGTTTGTGCTGTGGATTCTTCTAAGATTTCACATTATCTATTTTGCTGATTTCACACTTCAGGACTGCACAAGTTTAATGTTAGGACAAACGATTTAAGCTGTTAGCTTGCAAATGGGATGACATACCTTGATATTTTTTCTACTTAGGTATTTCAATTGCTTGTTACCTACAAAAGAGAATCATCTTACATTGTTCCCACAAACTTTGCTATTGTATGTGTCTAATGACAACATAATTTTCGGTTTTTATTATATATACTTTTTGAAAGGACCACACTTTTTGTCAGACTTGTGGAGAAGACTCCAGCAGGAGAGCTTTGAACTCTGAATTTGTTTTTCTGCAAGTTCATCTTTCAGCACTTACTAGAAAGAATTCACAGACCATGGAGATTTGCATCTAAATCTATTGCTTATTCAGAAAAGCATCCTTAGGCAGACACAAGAAACAATAATGGAGTGGATAATGGGAGGAAGCTGGGAACAAACCTACAAAGCATTTCTAGAACCCTCATGGTTGGTTTCTCTAACTGCTCACTCAATTACACCTAAACTGAGCTGCATTGCCTTACCTTTTATTTCACTTGCTAGTTAGGATTTAGATTCCTATGTATTTTCAAGTTCATTAATTGCAGTGATCATCATGAGTCACAAATTAACTCCTGTAAGAAAGTAAACCTTTGATGTTGGCACAGATCAAAACTTTGCAAACTGGCATTCTATTTGAAGTAACCATAACGTTCTCACATATGACATCTCTTTAAATGCAAATTAGAGGCGCTTAAGTCCATGCTACTATCCACACACAAACAATACAAACTCACTCCCAGCAAGAAGAGTAACTCTGGAATAGCTCAGCTTTCAAATAAATAGAGTATATTTAGAAATGAACAGTTTTCCACTCCCACTACAATTTATACAAGATATTCTTTCTCTGGAGAGATGTGTTTCCTTAACCCACACCAGGCCGGGTCTTGCCTTAGCAATGATTTCATCATCTGTCTGACAAAGAAGGGGAACATTCTAGATGGTGTGTCATTGCTAAACCTTGGTTGCCACCTTGATACAGCTGGGAAGGAACCTCAAATTAAGGAATTTCCTGTATCAAACTGGACTGTGTCTGTGATGCATTTTCTTGATGGCTAGGAGAGCCATCTGCTGCCCATGATACCTTTTGGTGTATAGACCTGGTCCATGAAGGAAAGATAACTGGGTGCAGCCCATAAGCAGCATTTAAACGCTTACTGTATCTGCTTCAGCTCCTGCCGTGGCTTCCCTCAGTGATGGACTGTGTATCCTATGAGCTAAGATACCCCCCACCCCCCCACCCCCCAACCCCCCAACCCCCACCCCCCACCCTGCCCCACAAAGTCGCTTCAGCCGATGTTAAACTAGAAAGAATGTGTTCATATCTGAAGTGTTCTCTTAATTGCTATTGTTGTCCGAGTCACACTATGGAAATCATAGTTTTCAGTCTGGCTCACGAAATGATGTAAACAAAACTGAAAACCGTGCATTGCCGCGTATGTGCGTTCACTGATGCTTTAAGGGGAAAATAATGGCGTGTTTCAAATTTCAGGGGCAACAATGCGATGAAAAAGAACACTCCTTACCTCCAGGGGGCGCCTTGTGCTAGCTGTCCCAATAACTGTGACAACGGACTGTGCAGTAAGTGGGAAGGGGCTCACTGTGTGCTCATCACGTAGTCAGTATTTTATTTGATTCTATGAACTGTAAAATCAACTAAATGATACATTCCTAGGAGAGGAAAACACCTACTCAAGAAAAGCGTTAAAATAAGTATTTTTTTTTTTTTACACCTCCCTACAGTCGTTGAGGTGTCATTTTATTTGTAATTACATTTTATTTGTAGTGAAAAGAATTTTACCTGTGTTACCTAATGGAACATTTTACCCTCACCGGCTGTGCTGTGCAGAACTATTCACTGTGCACTTCATTCAAAAATTGTTCTTTAAACTTGGTATCAATGGGCCCAAAGTGGTATTTAAACAATCAAATCATGGTGCTGGAGAAATAGCTCAGTAATCACAGAGGACCTGGCTTCCATTCCCAGAGCCGACCTTGGCGGTCCACAACTGCCCATGACTCCAGTCCCAGGATATCTGATGTCGTCTTCTGCAGTCTTCAGATACCTAAGTACAGGTGCTGGACATACAGACATGTAGGCGGACATATAGAAATGTAGGCACACATACACTCATAACTCAAAAAAAATTAAATCATGCATACCTGCATGAATTGAGATCATGTTTTACTTGTCTTACATCCCATAGTGAGTTGACTATGTTGATTTTTTTAATTTCTGTAGTATACCCAGAACCATAGTGTTTACCTTTAAAATGATCACTTTTCCTATAATTAGGTGATAGCATTTTTGCAAATATTTAATCTCAATACCCAGTCTGTGTATTAGCTTATAGACAAAATATGGCTACAAATGAAAGAATAATATAAATTTCATACATGTTATTTTTTCATTAATATAAAGAGGCATAAATATTGGGTCCCACCATTTAGTATGATTTTTGTTTAAATTGCTATGAACGGGAGTATTGAATCACCCATTGAAATTTCTACCTTTCAAGTGTTTTCACTTTTTTTTAGCATCATTCCTGACTCAATTGTGTACCAGTAACTTAAAAGTATTAGTATCAAAGCTGCACACTAATAAGAAAATGTTCTGAATGATTATATCTCTTCTGAATTCTATTTGCTAAACAGTTTTGAATACATCATATTTTTACTGAGTACTCAACAGGACATTTTTAAAAAAGTGTCAGTCATGTTTCATAAAAAGTTCCTTGCACCAAAATACAAAAATCACGAATGGAAATAAGTTCAGAAGCAGCGAGGAAACAGTTTAAACGCAATGGGTATTGTTGCACTATGAACCAAAGGAACCGTGATTGAATCCTGTTTGCATGTTTGGCAGGAGAAGAGGGACTATACCAGCTTGGTTTCTGTTTAAATGCAGAGTTGTTGGAATTTTGTGTCCTTGAGGTTGTAGGAGGCCTGTAAAGAGACCACACCTACAAACAATTAACTTTGAGGGTCTGAGGAGTTCAGAGGAAAACATGGCACCCTGTCCTTGTCTCAGGCCATTCACAAAGGGCATTTCCTCTGAAAGTGTAAAGTTGGGTTTCTAGAATATGAGACACCAGAAGGAGCCTCTATAACAAATATCTTAGATTAGCCATGAATGTGGCCTTGGGGATTTGAAATGGAGTAGTCAGGCTAAGGAGCTAATTTAATTTACCATGCACTAAAAAGCTACATTTAATTCAGCAGCTGAAGATATGTTTATATCTTTTTTTTCCTCCCCTCTTTGACTGACAGGAGATATAAGTAAACCAGTTCATTTTAGGAACATGTCATTGAAAGATAGAAAGAGTTATGGGTGACCTGGTGAGCTCAGCAATGGTGACCCCCTGAGTTACTCAAGAGCATCACAGTGATGACGATGCTAGTGTGTTGCTCCTTTCTACCTTCCCACGGATGTTTCAATGGGTGGGTTTTCTGTTGCTATTTCAGACGATGGCAATAAGATAATGAAATCTGCTTTCATTGCAGCCAATAGCTGTGAGTATGAAGATCACCTTAGTAACTGCGAGTCCTTGAAGAGCTCAGCAGGCTGTGATCATGAGGTGCTCAAGGAAAAGTGCCAGGCTACCTGCCTGTGTGAAGACAAAATTCATTAAGATATCTAGTGTGAAGCATGAAGGAGTACATGTAAAAGGGATGTAGCCTGTAACTGAGATATGCCAGGGAAAACTATAGCAGATTAGTGAAAAGACGGATCCCAAATGACAAGGCTTCTTCCATCCCTGGATTTATACAGAAATCTCTTTCATACAGCAATTTAAAGTGTCATTGAGGATGCCAATTTTGGATTATGACCAGTGTTGGTGTTTTCAATGTAATGAATTGAATTGAGTGGAGAATTTTGAAAGTTGTAGGAACACAGGTCATTCATCACTAGAACTTTGAAAAAGAGGAAGCTGTATGTGTCCATAAGCAACTTGCAATGGAATAATGGGCTGTAGTAATGTCACCATCAACCTACTTTACTGTGTCTACCAGGATGAAGCTTGACATCTGTGTTTGTCTTATGTCCTTTTAATTAAATACAAGTAATGATCTTTTTCAATAAAGAATTCAAGCAACTATATAGATTCAGTTTTCATGTAATATTTATATAGCATGTCTTTTTAACTGCTAATAACTAAGCACAGGAAAATAATTATACAGGGAAAAATCTATTAAATAGATACCTAACATTAATTAAAAAAACATAACTTTTTTATTGTTTTTATTTTATGGATATGCCATTAATCACTATATAGTTCAATATATGTACAAGCCTAGTCATCTTATGAAACAATTAAAACTAATAAATGTCTTAGAGAATTTAGCATTCATAATTCTGTACATTTCATTCAAGTTGGTTTGACAATGACATATAAATCAGCTCATGTACATAGGATTAAGTACATTAAATATTTCAAATATTGAAAGGCTACCAGAAGTAGCCAAAAACTTGGTGTGATTAGATAGATGGTAACATACCATGAGCTACCAACGTGCCCAACATGAAATAGATAGCTGAATTTTTCTACACCACTGAAGAAAATGAATGCATACCTCTAAAACCTCTAAAAGAAAATTCCCAGGCCTACATGATTTTACAACACAATTCCGCAAAACATGTCGAAAAGTATTTTAGAATTGCTGTAAGTCTGTTCTGGAAAACTGAAAGAAGGAAATTTTGTTAGTTCATTCTTTGGGATTATGTCATCCTAATACTAAAATTTAAGGTGAAAAAATACAGATGTATAACTGTCATACACATGGAGAAAATCCTACAAGAACACTAAGTAAATTGTTCAGTAGCAAAAAATCAAGTGGATGTCGAACTAAGTCTTGGAACAAGTGGAATAAATGACCATTTATTGTATATCTAGAGGATTCTTTGCCATTGTCAAGCACATTCAACCTTACCTCATACCCATGTGTGTCTGTGGGAATCTACAGAAAGAATGTTTCTTCATCGTAGTTTTGAGAACTCAATTGTCTCATAAGCTGTAATGATTTCTTTCTAGTGAGTGCCTCTTTTTCCTTGTCATATATGACTAAAATTTGAGTCAAAATGTCCCCACAGAGACCTGTAATATCTTTTTCATCACTCTTCTTTCGTAGACACCAATAACTGTCCAGCCTAGAAATCATTCTGAATTACCTGTGACCTTCATGAACTCATTGCCTATACTTTTCAGAGTGATGGCTTTTATCCTTGCTCTTGGTGAACCAGTAAATAGTGGACTGCTCTCGGTAACACAAATATTTATTGAAAGAATTATTTATTCTTGAAATTATTATACATGACTCACATTTGACAGTTGTCGGAATATGAAATGTCTGTGAGGAATGAAACAGAATAAAATAATAATCCAATTCAGGAGCTGAAGCTATGGGAAAAAAATCCGAGGGTGAGTTTTAAGATATTTTGTAGGCAAAGTGAAATGATTTTATTGAACTAAAAAAAATTGTTCTTAGTTTTGGTTCATTTCAAAATATCATTTTCATTCTAGAGTATTCGTATATTCAGTAAGTGTTCCTCTTTCGCTGTTAGCTTAGTTAGTTAGTTGATTTCACTTTACCTTGGCCTGTCTGCTAAGAATAAGAAGCCACAGTTTGGGATCCCATTCCCCATGGACAGATACTCTCTAAGCCTAGATACACCGGGGACAATATAGGTCCTGTCCAAAATGATGTCATGGACTTTGATGATCTCCCATGTGAGGCCTCACCCTCCCTGAGGAGAGGATGGGGATGGGATGTGGAGATTGTGGGGGGACTGGGAGGATGGGAGGTACAGGGGCCAGGGACTGCTATGTAAAATAAGATTGTTTTAAATTTAAATAAAAATTAATTTTACAAAATAATAAGGATCCATAGCAGAGCACAAAGGATTGTACATTTCATCAAATGTCTTACATGTAATCTTTTTTTTCTTTCACAATCAGATAGAGTGCCATCTTAGTCTCTTGTTGCCTGTAAATGTTTCTCAGATTTCTTTAATTATTTGGAAGTCCAGTATTTTGTGCAATACCCACATACTTCATTACTATCTCAATTAAAATCCCACAATTTGAAGCGGACTGGTGCTGTTAGCTTATAAATAGACCCACACTACTTCAGTGTCCCAAGTACTGAAATTACACGGCTCAGAACTGTTGTGGGCAATCTCTTCCTGCCAACCTGGTCCCACAGCCACAAATACTGTATTAATTATAATACTGTTGGCCATTGGCTAGGGCTCCTTATTGGCTATCTTTGTCTTAATTACTATGTACTACCATGGGACTGTGGCTTAACCCGTTATGCCCACTATGGTGGTACTCCTCTGGAAGCCCACATGGTGACTGACTCTGCCTGTGTTTCCCAGTATCCTCCTTGTCTCCTAGTCCTAACTATCATTCTGCCTCACTGGCCACCGTGCTTTATTCATTAACCAATAAGAGAAACATATGTACAGAAGACATCCCCATCATCTCCTCTTTTCTGTCTAAATAAAAAGGAAGGTTTTAACTGTAACATAGTCAAATTACATGTAACAAAACAGGTATCAAGTAAAACTATAGTTACAATATTTAGTCCATTAACATCTAGCAAGATTTAAAGAAAATATTCCATCATCCTACCTTTGTGAGTCTAAAGCCTTATATGTAACTTAACTTTTATGATAACTAATGAAAACTATAGCCACAATTATCTGTTTTCAACCCAATCAAAAACCTCAGAAAGGTAATATATTAACTTTGTAATTGATTGAGACATCTTGCTACCTGGACAGTCATCCAAAGTTCTTCTGTAAATAGGAACACCCATTTTCGACCCATAGGCCATAGGGTATCCAACAGACTTCTCAGTGAAACAGGAAATTTTAAACTGTCTGCCGGTATTGGCAATTTGTCAGTCATTTTTCTGTTTCCTGCTAACTGTCTGGCAGACTCTTCCATGAAACAGGATCCTTACAGCACTGTCCATTTTGTTTTGCAAGATTAGCAGTCACTTTCCTGTGGGTCCTGCATGTTCACCTTATACAGCAGACAGTCAAACAGTCCAGGCAAGAGCAGTAAGTATCTTGCCCAAGTGGCTAGCCTCGCCATATTGAAAGAAGACTCCATAATGAGTCCCTTCTATGTCCAACATCTTCTCTGAAGGAACTGTGTATCCAGGAGCAGTTGTGTCTCACTGTCAAGAAAAACCCTAAACCATTTCACATGCCATATTCTGTAGGTCTTTGAAAGGTTTTAAGAATGTCTATCCAATTGAAATCTGTCTCTATATATCTGGAAAACCAAACTAACCTAACTATAAGTTTTGACTACTATAGGTAACTGTATTCTGTACTTAATTATATATTACATTTTTAAATGAGCTATATGAACACAATACCTAAACAGGAAAAGAAATATTCATGTCCTACTCCCCCTTTTTCCTTTTAAAAGAGATTGGTTTTGATCATTAACCATTCATTTATAACTAACCCAATTTAAACGAAAACAAACATTTATAAATAACATTTGGGGTTTGGGGCATCGTTCTCCCCAAACTACTTCCTGCTCTTAGGGGGTATTGAAATACCATGGGGTCATGAGAAAACAGAAACCTGGGAAAAATCTTTGTTGTTGTAGTCTGCAAGGCTACATCATCTCAGCTGTTTTAAATGCTAGATCACCACTGCTTCAGGTGGTCTTGCTTTGTTAAACCATATTAGTCTGGAAAGAATCCACAGGTTTATATTTTCTCTGGAAACAAAAGCAGAAACTTAAAATTTAAAGTCAAAGCATTTTCAAAATATATAAGTTGGATTAATTTAGCAGCATTTATAGTGAAATGCACTTGAGCAGCTGTAGCTCCCTTTTCACCAACCATTTTAAGGACAACACTACAGCATACAGTATCCAGACTCTCTGTGTATTTTTCATCTTCATGTGGCTTTTTATTACTCCATTTGTTTTCTTTTATTTTTTTTTTTATTTTCTGAGACTGTATCTGTAGAAATCTGCCTGCCTCTGCCTCTGGAGGGCTGGGATTAAAGGCATGTGCTACCACTGCCCAGCCAATCTATTTATTTTTCCCAAGCCTGCATATATTTATTGTAAATCTTTATATTTTTCTAACCACATGAATCTTACCTGGTCTCTAATACTACTTCTCTGGTAAAAGAGGCACGAGGCATTGTATTATTATTATTATTTTATTAAATTAGAAACAAGTTTTTTTTGCATGTCAATCTGAGTTCCTTCCCTCTCCTCTCCCCCAACCCTTCTCCTATTCCATCCCCTTTTTGTTCCCCAGGGAGGGTGAACCCTTCCATGCAGGATCTTCAAAGTCTGTCATATCATTTGGAGCAGAACCTAGGCCTTCCTCTATGTGTCTAGGCTGAGAGAGTATTCTCCCAAAAGTCTATTTGTATACTAGGGATAAATACTGATCCACTACCAGAGGCCCCATAGACTGTCCAGCCCTCCTAACTGACACCCAATTTCAGGGGGGCCTGGATCCATCCTATGCTGGTTCCCCAGCTATCAGTCTGTGGTGCATTTTATAAGCCAACAGTGTCTGTGGATTTCTCCAGCATGGCCTTTACTCCTTTGCTCCTCATTCCTCCCTCTCTGCAATTGGATTCCAG